CATAGTGATAGAGTTTACAACACAGGGAAATTGCATCAGATTACAAAATGGTACACAATCATATAATACTGGGAATCATGACCCAGTCAAACAGATATTTTGGGGGGACACAATTCAATCCATGACACCCTATACAAAAAAAATTACCAAAGTTTCACCAAGCACTTCAGAAAAGGTTCTATGAACACTTAGGCTAGCAGTACTACAGCCCTGAAGATAGCACACTATGGAGGCCTGCAATCTACCCTAAGCCTTCCCACAAACTCCACATTCCCCAAGGGCATCAGATTTGGCTGGTTCATACCTGTCTCCACATTTGTAAAAAGGAGATGGTACATGATAACAGGTCATTTTAGGGTATTTAGGTGGCTATGCCAAATGTTCCACATAATTCATTTCAAATAAGTAGCCCCATTACTCATCATTCCCCCTTTAGAGTCCATTAATCAAACCATTAGAAGAATCTGAACGAGCAGTCCTTGAGCATTTCTCTATCTTCTGTGCAGCGTAAACTATGCCTATAAGCCATTATAAAAATTTTCAAAATAATCCTGTCAATCCAAACAGTAGTTATTCAATGATGGAGTCATTTATCAACACGATTTGCCAGGAAGATATCATTCATTCTTTCAAAATATATTAAACCAATGGTTAATTCTCAGGTCTCATAATTTGACACATTTCCTCACTTCTTCCTTCTAAACAAATGAGGAAACTGAAGCTCAGCCAACGTAAGTAACTTATTCAATATCATACAAACCAGTACGAACCAGAAAAGAGATTGGAATTCTGGTATACATGTCTCCAAAACTCAGGCATAGAGAAGCCTCATAAATATTCGAAATTGGGGAGTCAAATTGACAGCAAAAGTCCAATAACACCCTTTGTAATCTGCTCCTTAAGGTCCAACCAGGAGCAGACTAACTTAAATGTACACATGAATTTAAATAAAAATTGAAATGAAGGCTCTTGATTCCTCCTCCCTCCATGTATCTTTTTTCCTTCTCCTCCTGCTGATTTTGTGTCTTTAGTTCTTACATGGAGAAGTAACACCCATTCATTACTACTTTAATAAAATTCCTTTCCAGTGAATAAATGCATAACAACATTTTCAGTGTTATTTGTAGACCCAACTGGTTGACATTTATTCAACAAATATTTATTGAACACCTACAGTGGCACACATTCATACCTTATCTATACAATCCTATATGGGGATCTTGACATTTTAACAGAACTGAACATTTCATGCTCCCTCAAATGCACAAACATATGTGTACACAAACCCATTAACTAATAATGAAAACAACATGAAAAAGTATGGTATTTGAAGTTAGAATTTTAGCTCAGCTTTTTATAGGTATAAATGTGCCCTTGGACAGGATACTTAACCAGCTTCAGTATTCTTGTAAGTAGAATGGTGTTATCCCCATTATAATGAGGATTAAATAGGGTTACATATGTAAGTATCCAGAATAGCACTCCTCCTCAAACTTCTTGAACAATTTTCTGTGATGATGGAAATATTTTATATCTGTGCTGTCCATTTAGCCATATGTAGCTACTGAGCACTTGAATGTGTCTAGTGTGACAGAGAAGCCTTGGTGGTACAGTGGTTAAGAATCTGGCTGCTAATCAAAAGGTCAGCAGTTCGAATCCACCAGCCGCTCCTTGGAAACGTTATGGGGCAGTTCTACTTTGTCCTATAGGGTTGCTATGAGTCAGAATCGACTCGACGGCAACGGGTTTGGTTTTGGTTTAGTGTGACAGAGGAACCGAATCTCTTATTTTACTTAATTTAAATTTAAATAGCCACATACGGCCAGTGGCTACCTTATTGGGCTGTGCAGATCTAGAATAAAGTCTAGCACAAAATAGATGGTTAATGTTGGTTTTCGTCTATTTTCCCTATCAATACCAGTAATTTTTTTATATCCCTCTCTTTACTAGCAGATCAGTTATACTAAAATAGCATAATGAAGAATCCTCCATATGCAGCTAACTTTTAGTTAATAAATTGCTTCTTCAACCAAGTAACAGCAGCGTAAAAGCAAAAGTGGTTAATTAATTCATTATATGTGTCATGCACTGTGCTAAGAATCTTGGATGGATTACATTATTTAATCTTTATAATAATTACGTGAAGTTGGTGCTATTATTTTGTAGGTACAGAAATTAAAGTTTAGGACTTGCCCAAAGACACACAGGGAGCAAGTCAGTGAGCAAAGATTCAAGCGTAGGGAGTGTAATTCCAGAAACTACAATGCTAAACTGCCCACATTTAAATGAACCATTCTACATAAGATTCATTATATGCTTTGTGATAAATAAATGTCCTCCCTACTCCACACCATGCCCCTTCTCACACACACTCAACAAGTGGCAAGTTGGAAATCAAACAATGTGAGCTAAGGACACAAAGCTATGCATCGTAACTGACTGACTCAAAATAAGTCTCATGTGCCAATTGGTGTGACCTTGTACTAAATTTAATGATTCTGTACTTTTTAAAGGAAAACTGAAAAATAATCATCACCTCTTTTCCCAGAATAAAATGACTAAAATATAAATTTATATTTTAGAACAACCTATTTGTGATTGGACATACAGTAGAAGCACAAGGCAGAGGCAGTCAATATTTACTAAAAGCTCCACATCACTGTCTACAAGGGATATTTATTTAAAACATCAAACATTTCTGCTAGAAGATTAACTGCATTCACTGCATTTGCATGAAGCATACTGCCACTCTTATCTCAATTCTAAAAGGAGCTTAATTCACTTAATGTCTGCAGCATTTATGACAAAATGTTTATTGTGCCCAAAGCAGGAATTCTTATTCCATTTCTGCCTGGTAAGCCATAGCATACTCTTTGCTGAATACCACAGGAACTTCTGGGTGGCAGGAAAGTTCGTATCTGGCCCATTTTCCTCTCACAGAAGAGTGAACAAGAAAAGGCAATTGATCTTCCACCCAGATCAAAACACTGTATGTAAATCTGTCTTCTTCTTCCAATCCATCCAGCTTCTCCTCAAACTTCATGATCTTCCCGACTGCACAAGACCCTTGGTCAAAGCTAGCACTGAGAAAAAGAGACTCTATTTATTGAGAGCAGTCCCTGGGTGGTGGAAACAGCTAATGTGCTCAGCTGCTAACAAAAAGGTTGGAAGTTCAAGTTCACCCAAAGGTGTCTCGGAAGAAAGGCCTGGCAATCTACTTCCAGAAAACCAGCCATTGAAAACCCTGCGGAGCACATATCTACTCTGACACACACGGTCACCATAAGTTGGAGTCAACTTGATGGCAACAGTTTTTTTAATTTATTTATTAAGAAGTTCTCAAGCCAGTATTATTAGGCACTAGAAAACAGACTACATTAAAGGTGTTTAGTAAGTAACTTAAAAAAAAATAAATCACACCTGCATTTGTTTAGACTTCTGTTATAACTCAGTTTAAGCAAGTGCAGACAACATTAAAACTGTAACAAAAATACGAACAGCACCTACGTTCTAGAAACACTACTGAAGTACCAAAGAGCTGATGTAAGGTGGAACAGTCATGTGGTTATGGCACCATTACTGTAGCTTTGTCTGACCTGCTGTGTGACTTGGAGCTAGTTCCTTTGCCACTTTACGCCTTTCACTCCGTATCAGTGATAGAGAATTAACTACTATCTGCCTCAGCAGGATAGTGAGTAGATAAAATTATTAAGTAAAATGCTTTGGGCAAAAGACATATGAATGTTAAATATTATGATTTATAAGCATTCATTTTCCTAGCACTCCTGTGGGGTTAGGAAGCTATCTCGATTTCACAGATGAGTAAACAGGCACAGGGGGTTAAGGTCACATGGTAAGGCTCCATTTACTTAGTCCGTGTGGGAAGGGAATAATATACACCTTTAGCAATCATATGAACTTTCCTGGCATGTCCTACCAATCTTTAATGCATTCAATCCTTAATTCAATGTTACATCTTTTAACATGCTATCAATGGAACAGACACAGTTCTAACATAGCAACAAGGTCAGAATAAGTGAGGAGGAACAATTCTGCAAGCTTTGGATGAACAGTCATAGAAAGACACAGATAAGTAATTTCAAATTTTAGAAGAAATGAAAATTTGCATTATTTTAAAGATTTCACCTCCACTACCACAGAGGGCCCTGCTGGCATAGTGGTTAAGAGTTAGGCTGCGAACCAAAAGGTTAGCAGTCTGAATCCACCAGGCGCTCCTTGGAAACCCTATGGGGCAGTTCTACTCTGTCCTACAGGGTCGCTGAGTCGGAATCAAATCGACAGCAATGGGTATGGGTACCACGTAGGGACCTTCAACCAAAGGAATTAAGAAACACGGTTTGCTATGGAAATATTTTGGAAAAAAAAACTTAAAGGTTGTCACACTCTTCCAACTGAGACTTTAAACTACTTCCGAAGTTCACCTTTCATCCAAAGGATCAGGCAGGGCTGATAAGACAAACAATAACACACGTGAGGAACGTGCATCTTAGATCAATTAAGTATATGAGATCAAATGAGCAACACCTGCCCAGGAACAACGATGAGAAGGTGGGAGGAGACAGGAAAACTGGGCAAATGGACACAGTGAACCCGGGTGGAAAGGGGGACAGTGCTGACACAATGCGGCACTGCAGCCAATGCCATGAAACAATTCGTATACAAATTTTTGAATGAGAAACTAATTTGCTCTGCGAACTTTCACCTAAATCACAATTTTCAAAAAAAGGCTGTCACAGGCCTTCATACTGGTTTGCCTCATTCAAAATCTTTGGGAAGGTAAATTTACCCTCTGGGCTTTAATTAGCAACTAGACAGTAAGAGAAAACAAATCCAAAGAGAATGAAGAATGAACGCACGGCAATGGGAAGAGCTCAGGAGGGCCAAAAACAGGCAAAAATACTACTCGGGTGTAACAGGAATACAAAAGGAGCACAGAAGATTCTCTGCTCATGTCTAAGACTACCTGCTAGATTGCTTACCCGACTCCGAAGGCAGTCAGCTAGGTTTCGGCGAGTGAAATTAGCTGCTGCTGTGGGAGACAATTCATATCCTGGTACAAGAGATAAAGAAGAACACTTAAAGTGAAGCAGAAGGAATAACAGTACCCCAAATCATTCCACTACTCCTGTTCTTAAAGCCCACTATCCTTCGTACCTTCAGAGTATATAAACGACACAGACTGAGGGGTACAATCCTACTTTTAGTCCTTTTCACCATGCAACATTCATGCAATAATTGGCTAATACTGACAGTAACTCATGGCCACGAAACAGAACCTAGCTGGTTGTTCTATGTGGGATCAAAGTCATAACCTTGCTTAAGAGGTACAAAGACACAGGTGTAAAAAAAAGAGGTATTGAGATGCCATTTTTTTTTTAAGTTTATTAAAACAAGGATATTGCGAAAAAAGAGACTGGAAGTTAGGGCAGTCTCAGTCATGATTTATACGGTTTTCTTTTAAAAAAATGTGCAACCTTATTAAGAAATATAATATGATTTTCAAAAGTATAAGCCATAGAAAAAGAATGTTTCCATCACTATCTACAAAATTTTAAAAAATAGTGTATCTGAAGCATAAAACTTCTAAAAAAAAAAAAAAAAATTGAGTGTCAGTACACATTTAACGATGCACTCATTTTGGAACTTAATCCCCCAGAAAAATGTGACCAGTGCCAAACGGCATGAGAATGACCCACAACTCAGTGGACCTTTATTAGCATCCTTCACCTGCCATGCATGTAAACAGTTAGAACCACTAAAAAAATAAAAGAATTCTTGAAATATTCTAAGCTTGCCTAAACAGAAATACCATCTACTTTAGGTTTCTGAATAGCAGGGACTGAGCTTTGTTCATATTTGAATTCTCTGTGGTACTAAGCAGAGTGTTGAACACAAACAACACCCTCAAAAATACTTATGGATTTGAATGCATGATGCTAAATCTGCTGCTTAAAAAGCCATCTGAATGGATATTATCTAGTTATTTTACAAACACAGTTATATACAAATTAAGTTTCCTCACAGCTCCATATTATACCAATGTTGTATATAACAGTGTTATTAAACTGTGAAGTAACCAGAAGCACAGTTCTCCCTGCAACAGCTTCACTACAAACTTTCCTGGATCAGAGGGCTAGTGGCTAGTGTTGTCTGATAGGGAGGCATTCCCAGAGAATAAGGGTTCATTAGTCCCAGAGAGCATTAATTATCTCCCTAGACAGGAACCTACCGGAGAGGTCAGATAAAACCCTTTTAAACACAGTAAATCCCTTACAATTATACAGAGCTTTAAGTTTACAAAGCGTTTTCATATGTATTATTTGTTAATAGTATTATAATCCCACTTTAGAAATACAGACAATGAAGGCCAAAGAGGATAAGTGATTTGTCACATAAAAATAGTAAAGCCAAGTTCTACTTAGGTATTCTTTAGCTCTCAGATTCAGATATACTTCAGCTCAAATCACATTCTCTGAAATATCTAACGCTTAAAAAGTATATTACCATGCTTATCTCCAAGATGGTATTTTTATCTCCCAAATATGAGTGTTATAATGGCTCTCCTTTATGCTCTGGGATTTTTGCAGAAAATATTTAAGATAGAAGGAGGGTGTAGATAAGTTTTTAAAACTAAGATGAGTCAAATGAAAACATGACCACATAGTTCTGGCCATGTATAAACTGCTAGTAGAGAATATTCTTTTTCAGTTCAAATGTCCTTAGAGAATATTCTTTTTCAGTTCAAATGTTAAGACAAAACAACCAAAGATACATTCTAAGTATTACCCACCATTTCGCATCTTATAAAGCTGTACATTTTTCTGAATATATTCTGCAAACTGCACAGTGTCGCCAGCCTCTCCAACACATAGAAGCAAGATTTTTTCACTCATCTTAAACATTTTGTCATGATCTGTTCAAAGAAAAAAACATAGTATTAGAAATTTATGGCTATTATATATGCAACTATAAACAGGTTTATCAATTACTATACTGAATAACATTTATTTTATTACTGTACTAATTATATTTCTGAAGATTTTAATGGGCACCTGTATTTGTCTTTATTGTTGTACTTTAAGTCAAAGTTTACAATTCAAGTTAGTCTCTCATTGTATTTGTTTTTTACTCTCATGTTAAACCATTAACATATTTTATTAATGTCAATTTCAATTGGAGAATACATAGGGAAGCTGATAATCAAAACTATAATTAGAAACATTTTAAGGCACTTTGAAAATGCAAGAACAGATCATGGAAACTGAAGGAATCGAGTCAATGGCGATTATCTTTAGGTTCATGATTATATGTCTCTATGATACAAACGTCAGTTATTATACTTACATACATACAAAAGCATACATGAAAAGGTCTAGTGTTATACTCAAAATTAAGAAGCCATCAAAAGAAAGAATAGAAAATCAACTGAGAATATAAATCACCTTAAAAAGTAAACCAACTCCATTTCCAAAGCAAAACAGAAAATTAAAATGATTGCCAAAGCAAAAATTCAAATATTCTAACAGTAAGCTATTTTAAAACACCTTACAAAAATCCTTATATTCTAATTTTATCTAGCTGAACCAGACTCATTCAGATTAGAAAAATAAATAAATATTCAGATAGCAATTACAGTAGTGCCTAAGGACAAAAACTCCATATTCAGTCTACAGCTTCTAAAAAAACCTAAAGCCTCCTATCTTACCCTCACTTTCACTTTTCATTTTTCAAATAGTGCTGAATAATCTTCCCTGGGAGACATGTTTCCTGTTTGAAAGCCTCTGAAATGTCAAATTCCTTAATAGGATTTAAAAAACAAAATGCTACTGTCAAATACTTTACAAGTGTTTGAGAGTTGTAGATATCAATAATATGGTTACTTAGCCTTAGGGGGGGAAACACACGCCTATAGGTAATATCCAATGGCCTTGAAACTCCTTAACATGAATACAGAGATTTAAAGACTGTTTGTTTGCAAACCTGTTTATAAAAGGAAAAAAATCTCTTTCAAATGTACTATCTATACAAAGAAAAAGAACCAGAAGAGTATATTCTAAGTTCTTGCCAGTGGTAAGAGTGTGAGCAATTTTTATTTCCTTTTTGCTTATCAGCATTTCCTAAAATTTCTAATATGTATCACTTTTGTAAGAAAATGTTAGTCAATAAATTTGCATTACTTTTATAATTAGAAAGAAAACAATTCTTATTTTGGGAAAAGAAAACTTGTTTATAAAGAATTTATGTCACATTTAAAAGAAAGGCTAAAATTCTTGGTAGCAAACTGTTCAATTTTGAGATGAACTTAATACAATGCCAAAAGTGTTTTTTAAACATCTGCTGCATATCCAGTATGTAGTGGAGGGGGATATAAAAACAAAAATGAGATGCTAATGGCTCCCTGAGCCGTCCAGGAAACAGCCTCTTTAGCTCGAGAAGTCCTGGTCCTTGAAGGGACTTTTGAGATCCACATGAAACAAATGGACAAAAAATGAACATCAGTGTGTAATAATGTGGAAAACCAACTGAGTAGAACCCAATAGACCTCATTTGTGATCTGGTCTCAGCACTCTAAATTTGGGAAAATTACTTGCCTTCTCTAATACCGTTTCTAAATGTGTACAATGGTGATAATATCACTTAGCCTGCCTAACTCACAGGTGGGGAAAACGGTAATGAATTCTATACATGTTCAATACTATAATACTTAAATGTTAGACAATGTAGTTCAGGTTATACAAGCTATAGGAATTCAGAAGAGAGTTCTGCGTGGGTTGGAGTACTATGAATGATTTAAAAATAATTTTATACAGGCCAAGAGACATGAAATGCAGCATATAACCAAACTGAGAGTTGTACCACCTAACTTTGATAAGCAAGCAATCTTTGGGAAATGCCTTCTCTATAGTACAAAATATTTTACAAAATGACAAAATGAAAAACGAATGGCAAGCATTTTTCTCATTTTATAGTTGGAGAAAATTAGGCCCAAAAGGTTACTCTTTTTCGGCATTCTTGCCTACCCATATAGTTTCTTCATGAAATGAACAATAGGAAAATGTTCTCATACAATTCCAAAGCTCCTATTATAAAAATGTTCATGCCAGAAAAGACCATGGGGAAAATCAAAGAGTAGAGTGCAATTATTTCCAACCATTTTTCAAGAACTAACTCAAATTCATCTTTCTTCTAAACCACATTGATCTTACCTTTCTCTGAACACCATTCATTAGAAATCACTGCTGAAATCATTAATTTAAAAACTAATGTAACACTGACTAGTGATACTTCTTTTATCATACACAATCACCTTGTAATATGTATTTCCTTGTTTCCTTAATGTTTTGGACTCCTCTATGGATTATATCTAACATGTTGTACACAAGTACACTTGAATCAGATTTTACTTTTCAAAATTACTTCACATACATAATTGTGATGAAACAGAAGACTTGTAAAGGTACTGACTTGGTTACTGCTCTACTTAAAAACTGCTTCGTTCTGAAATCACTTGCTTATCAAGGGCCTCAGTATTCGAAATAATGGACAAATTTACTCAAACAAAAATTCACTCCTTTGAAAGACTGGTTTACAAACAGAACTTCTACAAACTAATCATCTAATTTCATGAAGTAATTCCACTTGAGGAACAATCCATACAATAGATGTTTAACAAACCACTTTCAGGACTACTTTTCTTCTTCAGAGAGACTAGAACTCGAGTAAAGTCCATCAGAGGTCCTTCCACCTTCCCAGGTGATAAAAGCCTGACAATGAGATGCCTGTTGAGGCAACAGTTGTGGACACATTTTTTGCCTTTGTTCGTACACTTTAAGAAACCTCAGATTTAATAATTTTTCTTTCCTTAAACCCAAGATGAACTATCATCAGTTGCTCTCAAAGTTTTCTCTAATCTCTACAACCAAAAAGAATCTTTTTCTTCAGGATTACCTGAGCACAATCTCTTCTTGCTCTGCATTACCTGAGAAGTTTGATTGTAGTTTTCATACAACACATCACATAATTACTGGTACACATATCCGAATCCCTTATTAAACTGTAACTGCTTTTAAGATTATACCTAATAATCTTAGGATAGGGTCATATCTTACTCTTCTTTGCATCCCCGCAGCACCTAGCATTGTAACATACACATAGGTATCCAAAATCTATTTGTCAAACGAACATTAAATCATCTCTGACAGAAAGCAAAATGCTTTTTCAACGGTAGCATGTCTATGATCAGTTATGAAAACACACTCTTAGATTCCTCATATCAACAATTAAAATCTTTTTTAAAGTATTTGAGTACTTACTATAGGGAGGCAGTATAGTACAGTAATTATGGGCAAAAGGTCTGGAGTCACACTGCATAAGTTTGAACCCTAGTTCTGCCATTTGTGACTTGGGCAAGTTTCTTAACCTCTATGCCTCAGAACTAACATCTGTAAAGGGAGGATGTAATAGTGCCTATCTCAAAAGGTTAAATGAATTAGCAAATCTTTAAAACAGCACATACATAGTAAGTGCTTAGTAGTATTAGTGTTGTTAGGTGCCGCAGAGTCGGCTGCAACTCATAGCGACCCTATGTACAATGGAATGAAACAGTGCCCGGTCCTGCACCTATAAAGTACTACCAAGTATTTATCACTGTGCTAGGCATTTGTACATAACTTAGCTCATTCACTCAAACCTCACAACAACCTTGTGAGGTTGGTAATACTAATCTGATTTTACAAATGAGGAAATCTGGGCACTGTGAAGTAACTTGTACAAAGTCACAAAGCAAATAAGTTGATAGGGGCTAGACTCGCGTCTTCCAATTCTATTACCTACCTAGATATAAGAAAAACTTGGCAGCCAGTGCCCAGGAAAACTAGAAAAGGAGCATAAGAGCTGAGCCAAGGGAAGAGACAGCGGAAGAAAAATACCAAACTTCTAGTCCCACAGTCTCACTCTCCCCAGGAAACTTATCAGGGCAGCCTGGTGCCGGGCAGGGGCTTAAGCACTTACACAGTAAATTCTCACGCAGCTCTCGCGTAGCAGGTATTTAGCGAAGGCCAATGCACTGAGCATTGACCTGCGAGCCCTGGGAGGAACGGCTGGCAAGGCCATAAGCTTGCTTGCCTGTCTCCTCAGTTCTAAAAGATAAGTGCAGGGCGGGCCAGGGCGGGTTCTAAGTCCCAGACCTCTCTGGTACCCCAAACCCCCCACGAATTCCCTCCTCTGCCCCTGTATCCAGGCCCGGCCGGGCCTTCCCTTCTTCCTCTCACCGTCCTTCATCTGTACAATACTGCTGGCGGCCACCCGGTCGGAGGCGACCAGGACGTAGTCGGGGCCCTGGATACCGATGAGGTACTCCATAGTTGCGGGAGGCCGGAGGCTGCAGGATCGGCAGGATCGGCAGAACGCGGGGCTCAGTGGCCTCTCGGCCTCACGGTGAAACAGCAGAGCACAACTTCACGCGACACAGGCCGCGAGATCCACCCCCCCCCCGGGCCATCGGCGCTCTCGGATGACGTACAACTGTCGCGAGAGGTCGGAAGGCGAGCGTGGTGGTAGGCGTGTTAAATCTGTGTTTGCGCCTTGGCCTGACTCTGTAATGGCTCTCTGAGTCACTTACTTTCTGTAACGCCCAGTTTCCTTATCTATAACTAGGGAGTTTTAAGACTCCTTTGAGGATGAAGTCACACACCATATATCAAGTGCTAACCACTTATGGGTGCCAAAAAGGAGTGGTCCCAGGTGGCTGTTCCTCTTTTTACCCGGTAAAATATTTCCAAAAACCCCTTCCCTGAAAGACGGAGTCGAGAAAAATAAAGTGAGAGGATTCCCTACTTACATCCCTCACAGAAATAATACATCGTTGGATTAAAGGCGAAGCATGAAGGTAAATCATAAAAACAGTGGAGAAAAATAGAATATTTTGATAATCTTCAGAAAGGACACATGTTTACGACAGGAAACCCAGAAGCAATATCGGGGGCGGGGGGGGGTCGGGGTCGGGGACCAGAACCAAAACCAAACCAGTTCCCCTTAAGTCCATTCCGACTCGTGTGTCAGAATAGAACTGGGCTCCATAGCTCCATAGCGTTTTCAGTGACTGATTTTTCGGAAGTAGATCACCAGGCCTTTCTTCCAAGGAACCTTAGGGCGGACTCAAACCACCAACCTTTTGGTTAATAGCTGAGCCCAAAACCATTTGTGCTACCCAGGACCCCAGTATAGAAAAAGACTGACAGAAATGACTGTATAAAATTACAAGTCTCTGTGTGGTGAAAGTCAACCTACTGTTCAAAGACAAATATAAAATGATAATTTTTTCAATATATGAAATAGTATCTGTAACTTAAAAAAGTTTCTACAAATCAGTAGGGGAAAGACAACATAATCTTTAAATGGCCAAAGTTAAGAACATGCAATTCACAAAAGAAGCTATACAAATGGCCAACAAACATGAAAAGATCCTCAGCCTTGATGGAGATTAGGAAAATGAGAAATAACAAGCAATGAGAAATTTTAAATTACTGGAGAGATTATAAATTGTCACGGCCCTTTTATAGAGAACAATTTGATAATATATATTAAAATGTAAGTGTGTATAACCTTTTAAATGTGTCCTAAAGAAGTATTTGCACAAATACCAAAATATTTGCACAAATACCAAAATATCTGTTAAGAGATATTCATTGCAGCATTGAAACAGCAAAATAAAAAAAAAAAAGGGACCAATCTTTAAGCAGAGGAATTGTTATATAAATTATGGTACACTCATGCAGTGGAATGTTATGCAGCCACTAAAAAGAATGAAATGAACCTGAATATACTAATATATTACACGTGGCCCAAAATATATTAAGTGAAAATGAAAATGCATTCCAATATGTACCATGATGCCATTTTGTAAAAAAAAAAAACGAATAGAAAAAGATCTGGAAATAAACATGTCAAATTGTATGCAGTGGTTACCTCTGGGGAGTGTGATTTGAAGGGAGGACTTTCACTTTTTATTTTATACACATCTATATTGTTTGAATGTTTTGCAATGCTCATGTATTATTCATAATTTTAATAGGTTAAAAAAAAAAAAACTACTCAGCCATGCCTTTATATCCTGCAACCATTCTGGAAAACTGAAATATTCCATAATTAGTTTCTGACATCTATAACAGAGTCTTCCTACTAACTGAGAATTGGAAAAAAAAGTTGCAATTATGTCTCCAAACACAGCTATGCAATTCATTTACCTTTGCAGAAACATGGAGTCCTTACTTCCTTTTGTATGTTTCTTCCAGTTGTCTGCCCATGAAGGAACATAGAGCCTGAGGAGTTTGGGACAGCCAATCTATCATGAGATGGTTGCCAGGGGCAAGTGAGGTCATTAAGTCAGCCATCCCACCAGGAACACAGCTGCATCCATCATCCTAGAGAGATCCTTTTCTTAAACACCACTGCGGAAGAAGCCTCTCTGTCTCTCACTCATTGTGTTTATGTGTGTATTTTAATTACAAAAAATACATAGTTATACAGTATATATGTATACACATGTGTATACACACACACACAATACAAAAGTGAAAAGTTTAATACTCTCCTCTCACCAGTGGTCTATATCCTTCCAGGCTTTTTCCTTTGTACATACCAATATTCATCCATTGAACCATTTATTGATTAACAGTAGTTGCAGAATTCTGAATTGAAAGATCCACAATCTTTAAAAAAAAAAAAAAAAAGACCCAAAGATCTTTTAAGCTGACTCTTCCCTCTTTCTCTCCAGGACTCTTTTTAAATCTCTTCTAGCTAAGTCACACTACAGCTGCCCTAACTGTGTTAGTATAGAAGAAAGTGGGTTTTTAAGACCTAACTTGTACTATACCTCACTAAAAAATCAGAGAGAACCCCACTTCAATTGAAGTCTTAGAATAACTGAGTCATAGAACTAGAAAAAAGTCTGTGAAGGTTCAGAGATGCTAGAATGTCCATAGCAAATTGTGGAGGAAGGATTAAAAGGCTCTAAAGTGGGTGGCTAAAATTGGTCTACTCAGTAAGTTCAGAAAACCCACCAGCTAGTTGTGTGCTTTGGGAAGACACAGAGGATTCTCTATTTATAAAAGTTTTAAAGAATGTACAAGTAAAGGGAAACCAGCATCATTGAAAAGTTCAGTAATGACTGCCCTCTTTCAGGGTGGTCTGATGGAAATGCTTTACAGAACGGGTCTCCCTATTACCAGTGGAAATGACAGGATCCTAAAATAGCAGTTGCCAGCACTTAGCCATCAGAAGCAAGATGGGTGTAATTACCTCAATGGTCAGCAAAGTCAGAGTGGCAGGCAGGGGACCTTGACCTGCAGGAAACTATGGAAATGGTGCAAAGGACATAGTTTTCCTAGGGGCAAGGTAGATAGGCAACCAGCAAGGGTATTACTTAATGTATCTATTCAAGAATAGATAAGAGGAGGCCAGCCACCCCAATAGAAAGTCACAATCCCTTGCCAAGTTTCTAGAACTGAGTGAGTTTGCGACCCAGAATTATTGACTAAAGGCATGCTGGTTCCCCAGGAGGAAGGACCCTACAATACCACAACAAGTGTATATAGTAGTGATTCCCTCAGTCATTCCCCAAAGGGATTTATGGTCATTTATTAAGGTAGTCATATGCTGTGGAAAAGGGCATGCCCAGATTTCTTAAGAGCTGTTGGGTACAAAATCCAAGTCTGTTGTTATACCCGAGGACCCAAAGTGCCATCGTGGCTCCCCTCTTACTGGGGGCCAGGTAATAAATAAAGTCCTGGTCCAAGTCCATCTCACTGTGGGCCCATTGGGTTGATTCACCCAATAGTCACTTTCCTGGTTTTTAAATGTGTAATTAGAATGGACATACTTAACAGTTGGCAGAACCCTCACATAATATACTGGACCTTTACAGCAAGAGATAGTGTAGTAGGAAATGCCAAATGGAAGCCCCTGAGACTACTCCCAGTCTTAACCACTAGGGTATATAAGAAATATCACATAGAAAATATCCAAAATGGAACACAACGAGAAAATAGACTGGAAAAAATGAGCAGAGCATCAATGAAATGTGGGTCAAGGTCAAGTAGCCTAATATATGTGTAATTGAAGTCCCTGAAGGAGGGAGGAAGACAAAAAAAATTGTTTTAATTAATAATAAGAAAAAAGTTTCCAAACTGAATGAAAAATACAAACCCACAGATCCAAGAAGTTAAACAAACCCCAAGTACAGGAAACAGAAAGAAAACTACACTGAGTCACATTACAATCAAATTACTTAAAACCAGTACTAAAGAGAAAATCTTTAAAGCATCCAGAGGAAAAAGCCACTTTATTTACTGACGATCAAAGATATGGATAACATCAAACTTCTTGTGAGAAACAATGAAATCCAGAAGACAGTGAAAAAACATCTTTGAAGTATTGAAAACAATATTAACCTAAAATTCCATTCCTTTCTTTTTCAAAAGACTTTTTCAGTAATACAGAAGCTGAAAAATTCATCACTAAAAGACCTTCATATAAGAAAAATTAAAGTTCTTCAAGTGGAAAGAAATTATACCACATGGAACCTAGATCTACACGAAAGAATGAAGAGTTCTGGAAATGGTGACTAAATAGGTAAATATGAAGACTTTATTATTATATAAATATCTTTAAAAAAAATCAACTATTTAAATAATAATGTTTTGTGGGGTTTATAATGTATTTAGAAGTAAAATGTAGGACAACAGAAGCACAGAGGCCAGGAGGGGAAATATTGGAATATACTGTAAGGTTCTTATCTTATACATGAGCTAATATAATATTACTTGAAGGTAGACAGTGATAAGTAAAAGGTGTATACAGTAAACCCCAAACAACCTCTAAAATAACACAAGGTTATAGCTAATAAGACAACCAAAAAAATGAAATACTCAATCCAAAAGGACACAGGAGAAGGAGAAGAACAAAAATCAAAAGGGACAGATAGATAACAGACAGCAAGATGGTAGATTTAAATCCAGCTAGATCAATGATCACACAAATATAAATGGCCCAAACGCCCCAACTGAAAGCCAGAAATTCTCGGATTAGATTAGAAAAAAAAAAAAAAGCAAGACCGAAGTATATGCTGTTTATGAGATACCCACTTTAAATTTAATGACACAAAATGATTTGAACATGAGTGTTCATAACAGCTTTATTTGTAATATCCAAAAACTAAAAAAGATGGGGGAAGGTAATTATGCCCATCAACAGGTGAACATGTTATTTATGTTGTTATATATCTATGCAGTGGAATACTGTTCTTGGTATTAGCTGCAAACTAGTCGACTCCAACTCAAGGCGACCTTAACGCACAACAGTAAAACGTTGTCCAGTCCTGCATCATCCTCACAATCACCAGCATGTTCAAGTCCATCACTGGGGCTGCTGTGCCAATCCATCTCACCGAGGGTCTCCCATGCCCTCGTTGGC